ATTTAGCGCAGCATTCGTTTAGCATAGTCATCGCTTATCTATTATAATTTCTTATATGGCCCAATTATTCATTTAGCAGCTTATGCACACCTTCGTTCGTTGAACTTATCAGAATGGGCGCCTAAAACAGGGTTGTTTGGGCTTCAGAAAACAAACGTAACAGTTCAAAAAAGGCTTGATCATAATTTTTTCTTGCAAATATTGCTAACCTGCATTTCCGATCATGTATTCAAGAATTACAGTCCATCCAATGGTAAACGCCCAAATTTCTCCAACACCCACGTAAGCATAAGTATAAGCGCTACCAGCTCGGGGATATCTGGAGTGTCGATGAAAATTTCACATATACGCGAGAAAGAGCAAAAAAGCAACTGTTTCCATAATCGTTATGGATATATCAGTCACCTCCTCGAGTATATGCCCGCATTTCAAAGACCACGTTTGGGCACCTCACCTCGCTCCGAATTCCGCATAGCTGAAAGCGGACATCAGAGCTGCGAATCCGGCCAGCATAAACGAGATGATGATCGATGGTCCCGTTTGGGAATGCACGACAGAACCTATAATCTGGGAACTGAGGAGAAGTATTGCGAAATAAATAGATTACATGTATACGAATAGAACTTACCAGCGAGTACGTAAATTCCAGCCCCAATCATCTGTCCTATTGCCAGAAACATCACGTCAATGACGCTGAGACATCTTTTTAGCTGTGAGTCAAGACAGGAGGACGCATCAAAGGTCTTCCTTCGAAAAAGAGGAGCCACCACATCGCGCACTCCCATCTGTCTTAATTCAGTTGGTGACGAGCTTCTATCGATGTCTTCAAGTTGAGCAGTGATCATGCAAGGTAACGAGAACAATGGCGGTTCGGAAGCCGAGTGCACTTTGAAAAATATTCGGTATCAGGAGAATGCAAGGATTTACGCATGGGTTCTTCTACAATAACACAATCGTCATGGAAACGCGAATCTTACCCACAATTTTGTCATTTGCTCTTTTACAAAATCAATCTCAAAACATCTTTATGATTCTTAGCGAAAAGAAATGCTAGCTATAACATGCTTCAACCATGGTGAACATGGAATTTGCTAGCTCCCAGAAGATTAAAAGGATGTAATTTCTCAGTATTGCTTGCAATCCACATTCATAAATTTTACTCTTGTGATGAAGCTGTTGAGAGGAAACTCATTAGAGGTTTTTAATCACATAAGGAGGCAAAACTAACTGCAGAAACCTGTGAATACTGTGGATGATTTTTCTAAGGTAGTAAGTACACCTTCATATGTTTTGTATTTGTTCATTACGTACACAGTAATACAACAAATCTTGTTTCCATGTTTGCTTTCATTAGCTCTTTTTGCTTAACAATCCAAAGCCAAGGCTTCCCATTCCATCATTGAATCAGGTTCAAGCTCGTAGTAAAGTTCCCGTCAGGTGAGATGATTTGATCTGACGAGGCTAGGCCAACTGC